AAATGTTATAGCAATAGATGTAGCACATGAATTCTTCAGGAGAAGCAGTTTAGCAAGTAAGCTTCAGTATTTAGCCTAATCAACAAGAAAAAGTAAATCAAAATTAAAATCTAGAAAAAAAATAAATATCTAACTAATGTCAAAATTGACTTATTTAGAGCAAAATAAATTTAAAAAAGAGAATGTTCTCTTAATGCGATGGAGGGGATATCAAGGTGTTGTTGTTGGCAATAATACTTAAAACGCTACCCATTGACTTTAAATGTTGTTCCATCACTTAGATTCTTCGAGAATATTGTCCCATAAGGATAGGCTTCCACAACTTCAAAGGGGCCTGACTAGTGTGATTTAAGTTTGCCAAAAAAAACTTAAGGCGTGAATTAAATAAGAGCACAAGTTGTTCAGCGTGAAACTGTTTGGACAAGATATGTTGATCATACCATCTCTTACTCCAGTTGTTGTAAGTTCGAGCACTCTCATAAGCATTATTGCATAGCTCCTCAAGTTTATTAATTTTCAACTATCGTTGGTCCCCAGCAACATTGAAATCATAGTTCAGCTTCTTAAGTGTCCACATGGATTTGTGCTCTAGCTCAACGGGTAAGTGACAAGCTTTTCCAAAAACATGGCGATGAGGTGACATACCCAAGGGAGTTTTGTAAGTTGTCTTATAAGCCCAAAGTGCTTCTTCAAGTCTTAGAGACCAATCTTTCCTCAAGGGATTGACTATTTTTTCCAAGATTTGCTTGATTTTACAGTTTGATACCTCGTCTTGACCATTTTTTTAGGATGATATATTGTATAAATGAAATGTTTGACTCCATAGTGCTGCAGGGCATTTGCTACTTATCTACCAATAAATTGGGAACCTTCATAAATAATAAATGCTAGTAGAGTTCCAAAGCGAGTAAAATTGTTCTTGTGGAGGAATCAGAGAACCACTTTAGCATCACTTGAGGGTAATGCTTCAGCCTCAACCCATTTATATACATATTCAACAACAACAAGAATAAAATTATTACGATAAGAAGATGGATAAGGTCCCATAAAATCCAATCCCCAAACATCAAACAATTTAATCTCCAAGATAAGTTGCATTGGCATCTCATTGTGCCTAGAAATGTTTCTCGTCCTTTAGCATCGATCATAATGCTTGAAAAAAGCATAAGCATCCTTGAACAACGAAGGATAATAACAACCACATTGGACGACTTTTGTTGTTGTACGCATGCCTCCAAAATTTCTGCCATAAGGTGCATTTTTGGCAATGCTGCAAGATGTTGTGATTCTAACACTCAGGAACACAACTCCTCAAGAGTTGGTCATTGCATTGTTTAAAAAGATAAGGATCTTCCCAAAAATACGCTTTGACATCCCTCATGAATTTCTTTCTACCTTGGTGATTAAGGTCTAGTGGCAGCATACCACTAACTAAATAATTCAAAAAATATACATACCATGGTAGAGCATTGATAGCCAGCAATCGTCCATCGAGAAAAATATTCGAAATCACAAGAACTTTGCCATCCTCACTTCTGGATTCCAAGTGTAACAAGTGGTTAGCCACTTGGTTCTTGGTACCCTTTTTATCTCGAACTTTAATGTCGAATTCTTGAAGTAACAGCACCCAATGAATCAGTCTCATCTTTATGTTATTCTTAGCAAACAAATGCGTCAAAGTTAAATGGTCGGTACATACTATCACCTTTGTTTCAACCAAGTATGGTCAAAATTTGTAAAATGTAAACAACACATCCAATAATTCATTTTCAGTTGTGGTGTAATTTACCTGAGTGTCATTCAATGTCCTGCCAGCATAATGAATAGCATTAGAAGACTCGCTCCTTGCGTTACCCCAACACTGCTCCAAAAGCAAAGTTTCTAGCATCACACATCAACTCAAAAGGTAAATTTCAATCTGGTTCTACGAAAGTAAGGGCATTAACTAGCTTGGATTTGATGGTCTCAAAAGATTTAAGAACTTTAGTATCAACCACGAATTTTTTGTTTTACTCCAATAATAAACACAATGGTTTGGTTATTTGTGACAAATCCTTAATGAACCTACGATAAAAACCTGCATGCCCTAGAAAGATTCTTATGGCTTTCACACTCGAGGGTGGAGGTAATTTCTCAATGACTTTGACTTTGGCTTTGTCCACTTCGATTCCTCATTGAGAAATACGATGCCCTAGCACTATGCCTTCGGTTACCACGAAATGACATTTTTTAAATTCAACACAAGGTTGGTTTCTTCGTATCTCTTCAAAATAGTAGGTAAATTAGCAAGGCTTTGCTCAAAATCTTTCCCAAAAATAGAAAAATAATCCATGAAAATCTCCAAGCAATCTTCAATCATATCAAAGAATATCGTCATCATGCAGCGCTAAAATGTTGTTGGAGCATTACACAAGTTGAATGATATCCTTCAAAAAGTAAAAGTTCCATAAAGACAAGTGAATGTGGTCTTACCTTGATCTTCAAGGGCTATAGCAATTTGATTGTAGCTGCTATACCCATCAAGGAAATAATTTAAAGCCTTCCATCAAGTCTATCCAGCATTTGATCAATAAATGGCAGCTAAAATGACTATTCTTTATAGCCTTATTCAGCTTGTGGTAGTCCATGCAAATTCTCCAACACGTGGTTGTGCATGTGGGAACCAACTCATTCTTCTCGTTTGCTACCACGACGATTCCTCCCTTCTTAAGAACACATTGCACGAGACTCACCTAATTTTTGTCAAAAATGGGTATATAATTCTAGCATCCAACCATTTGATGACTTCTTTACAAACCACTTCATTCATAATTAGGTTCAGCCATCTTTTTTGCTCAATAGAACTACTACTAGAATCCTACAAGAGAATTTATGCATGCAAAATTTTGGGCTAATCCCTTTTATGTCAGCAATGATCTAGGTAATAGTCTTCTTATATTGCTTCAGTGCTAAAATTAAATAGACAACTTGAGAAGTTGTAGGCTTCACTGCAATAATGACTGACAGAGTGTCATTTTCTCCAAGGAATGCATATCTCAAATGCTCAGGCAAGGGTTTGAGCTCAAGCTTAGGTGGTTCTTCTATGGATGTCTTTAGTGCTTGAATCGGTCAAGAAGGTCCAATGATTTAAAGTGTTGGATAAAATATTCTTCCTCATCATCCTCAATTTCTTCACTTGCTATAGCATTGGCAATATCAACTCTCATGTTGTAGCTTTCATCTAAATGTTCCTGCACATAAACATCAAAAGCATCAATACTGTTACACTCAGTAATATCATCTATATAAGAAACATTTTTCAAAACATTGAAAGTAATGTATTCATCATTTAAGTGCATAGTGAGTTCTCCATTTTCCATGTCGATTAGTGCTCGCCCTTTAGCGAGGAAGGGTCTTCCAAGGATGATTGAAACTTTTTTGTCAGCTTCGCAATCAACTATAATGAAATCAGTTGGGAATATAAACTTATCTACTTGGACCAGAATATTCTTCATAGTTCTACTTGGATGCACAGTGGACTGGTCAGCAAGTTGTAGCGTTAATGTTGTTGGCCTTACATCTCCACTTCCAAATTTCCTGAAAATAAACAAGGGCATTAAGTCAATGCTAGCACCTAAGTCGCATAAATCTTTGCCAACAAATTGGTCACCAATGCAAAAGGGATAGTAAATCTCCCTGGGTCTTTGAGCTTTGGCGGTAGTCTACTTGTGGCCATAATGCTGCAGCCTTCAGTCAGCACAATATTTTCAAACTCGCCTAGCCTCATCTTCTTGGACAACACTTCATGCATGAATTTAAAATAGTTGGGGTTTTGCTCCAAAGCATCTATAAGCAGAATGTTGATGGTTAATTGGTGAAGTGCATCTATGAATGCTTTAAATTGTTAATCCTACTTGGTCTTTTTGAAACATTGAGGAAACAAATGAGGAGGTCTTGGAGTTGGTTGATTCTAAGCTAGTTGCAACATCATGGGTGTGACAGGAGGTATTAGTGGTGGTGATGCAGCAGGCATTGCTCCAGAATTGCTACTTTGTCCAGCATCCTTTGTTGTAGCATCTATGATAGATGCGTCTTATGATACCTCCTTATTCTTGGGTTGCTGCTCATCATCTTGCTTCTTATTCTCAGCAGAAGGTCTCCCAATATGGATTCCACTCCTGATCGTGTTGGTTTTGCAATGCTCATTACAATAAGCCTTTCAATGAGCCTTAGGGACTTCGGTGTCACTGGGTAGCGTCCTTGGTTTTCTATTGCTTAAAGCATTTACCAGTTGGCCAACTTGGTTCTCTAGCGCTCTTAATGATGCTAATTGGATTTGAATTATTGCTTCATTTGTTGAGATGTACTCATTTAGTGGGGATTCAAGAGAGTTCAAGTTAGGGGCTTGATTGGAATTTTTCTCTTGATAATTATGCCTTTATTGTGGTTGTGTTGGTTGCTGATGTTGTGGCATAGTCGGGTGTTGATTGAAATGTTGTTGTTGATTGCCGAAATTAGATTGTATAGCATTTGGATTAGTAACATTTTGACTTCTCTGGGACAACTTGGGGTGGTTACGGTAGTTGGCATTGTATGCATTCCCATATGTGTTGCCATTATCTCCCCTATTGAAATTTCTCACAACACAAATCGACTTGGGGTTTTGTGGACATTCTTCATAATTATGTGTATCTCCCCAATAAACAAAAGAGAAGGTAGAAATATTTTTTACCTCATACATGCCACCTGACCTGTGTAATTTCTTTACCATATCCGTTAAAGTTGCGATTTGAGACACATTTGAGTTAAGTGCATCAGTGTCTAGTGTTGTAGCATTGCGTCTGCCGAACATGCCCCTCATATTGGGGTATTGATAGTCGTTATTATAAATCTTGTCCAATATGTCATATGCTTTATTGTATGACTTGTCCAGTAATGCTCCATTTGCTGAAGTGTCAGACACCATGCGAGTGTGCATATTCAACCCATTATAAAACATCTCTATTTGCGTCAAATGGGGAAATCCATGCATAGGGAACTTTCAAAGTAGCTCCTTGAAATGCTCCCAAGCTTCGTATAGATTTTCTTCTTCAAGTTGCTTAAAAGAGGTGAGGCCATTCCTCAGCTTTGCGTTCATATTAGGAGGATTAAAGTGTAGCAGAAATTTTTAAGCGAGTTCATTCCAAGATGCTATAGCACCTGGTGGTAGCGAATTAAGCCAGTATTTATCTTTGTCGCGCAACAAATACGAAAATAGTTTTAGCTTCAGCGCCTCTTCAGGAAATCTTTGTTGAACGAAAGAATCACAAACTTCCATAAATGCTCTAAGGTGTGCTATTGGGTCTTTAGTGAATGAGCAATATATTGTCCTATAGACTGCAACATTTGGATGGAAGGTTGGTCTCACTATTCTAAGATGTAGATCATCTATTGTAGGGACATGTTCCCTGATTGGTCGGTTACGATCATCCATATTGAAATAATGTTGTTGTTAGCTCCACTGATGTGCGACATTTCTCCTTTATATTGTAGCGGTGGTAAAGCATTGTATGGCTGGTCACCTATTTGAATTCAATTTTGATTAGCTTCTCATCGATGACGTCTAAAATTTCTCTCAATCTCATAATCAAATGGTACTAAGTCGTCACTATCAGACATGCAATAGAAAAGTACATACAAAAAGAAAAGAAAATAGTTAGTAAAATAAAACAAAACTCAAAATTAAATAGTTTTTCCATGGCAACGATGCCAAAAACTTGATGCTCTAGAAAATGCTATAGCATAGTTCAAGCATACATTATCGTATCAAAATAATAAAATGAAAATCCCTGAAGGATTTTAGACGTCGAAACCACAGAGAGCATAAAGTTACAATTGAGTTAAGGAAATAGGTATTGATTAAATTGGCATGTAAATAAGAAAAGTAACAAAAAATGAAATATAATGAAATAAAGGCAAGGTCATTATACAACACTGTATTCAGTACGGAGTCATAAATCAAATGGAATGGGATGATAAAAGGGATTTCTAGTTCAATTTATGCAATCAAATCAACTACAATCTAATTAGCATTAATCATTAATAACAAATTAATATGAATTAACTCTCACTAAGACAAATAATCACACAATAATGATGCTAAACATTTGGAAGTATACATCTCAACATGCATTTGCTTCTCACAATTCCAAGCCATGAAATTAGTATGCAAATCATTCAATTTATCTCTAAATAAATAACAACATACATTAAACAATGAAATCTCTTTCACCATTCATAAAGCATAAGCCACAAAGTAGCAGATTAAACAACATTCATATAAAAAAAAGGGTTCCACCTAAACGGATAAGTTTAGAACATTCAACATCCAAAAGTATATGAAAAAACCACTATCTAAACTTATCTCAGGTAAAGTCTAAGTAGCTAAAGTGATCTTGCTGACTGCCGATGCTACTTGGCGAAGTCTAACTTCCCCCAAATTAGTGGCTTAGATGGCCATGGAAAAGAGATGAGAGATTTTGTGTGAAAGATGATGGAATGAAGAATTGATGATTAAATGAGCTGAGGGAGGTACAATTTATAGGTGGAGGAGGTCTCCAATTAAGATTGTCCATGTAATAGCAGCTGGTTGAAGAGGATACAACTGTCACTGATCCAAACGGTTTTGCCCAGCCTAGTGAGTCATTAGTTTCTGTAGTATTTGCTTCTTTACTACAACATCTACACCTTTTTCTGAAGAAAAATTAGAAATTAGCCCATGTTAACCAAACTTTAAATAGTGCAAAAATATATAAAAATAAGACTAAACTAAACCAAAAATGCTTTTAAACATACTTAATTTCAAGCTAAACCTATGTATAAAGTGCTAAAATGATAACTCTTTTGGAGAGTTATCAGGAACCATTGGGTAAAGTCACATGAGTCATAGATGAATGAGACTGAAAGTGAGAAAGAATACGTGGGTTACCTGTCTTGTGATCTGTAGCACCAGAATCAATGACTCATTTTGATGAGGTGGAAACAAGGCATGTATTGTGTTGAGTTAATCGATCGACGGAATCGGCCAAGAGGGGGTGAATTGGCAATTGAAATTTTTGCGGAAGCTTTTGCAGAAAATTGAAAGTAATTGCACAACGATTTAGAGTAGTTCGACTTTCTCAATCAAAGTCTACGTCCACTACCTTAGTTTATCCAAACTAAGGATTTTCCAACAAAATTCACTAATTTGTTCTTTCTTTTGAGGCCAAAGAGATAACCTTACAACTCCCTCAAGAATATACCCTAATTCTTGATAACACTCTTTCTCAAAGAGAAGATTACAAATTTGCAAACTTTCAAGAAAATCCTCACAAGGTAGATTGTTTGCCCAATTCTAGAACAAAGAAAATAACACTAAAAAATGAATACAATTGAGTACAAGTAGTGTTCTTGAAAGAAAAATGAATATTGAATGAAAAATAGGATTGAAATGCTCAAACTTGAGGTTTGCTGCTTTCTCTTTGATTCTCTCTTGATTCTTGTTGATTGTTGTTTCTTGTTTTTGATCAATGGCTTCTAAGCTTGTTTAAATACACCTTCAAATGATTCTGAACGTTGGGGATGATTAGTGGAGTCAATAGAGTCGTTTAAGTGTGAAAACAATTAATTAAAGTAGTTGGGAGCGTCAGTGCATCGATGCATACCCTAGGTGCATCGGTGCATCAGTGTAAAATTCAAATATTTTTACCGTTAGACTCTCAGTGCATCAGTGCACTAAGAGTGCATCGATGCATAAAATGCATTCGATGTTTTGAAAAAGCCTGAGTGCATCGATGCATGGTCTTGTGCATCGATGCATCAAATGCACTGATTGCATCGATGCATGGTATGTCATTGATGCATAAAATGCATTCGATGTTTGAAAAATTAATTGGTGCATCGGTGCATCACTTTGAAAAATTGATTTTAGGCTTGATTTTGGTTCAAAATACTTTGTGAAAATTGTTTTTAAAATAGTTTAAGTATAAAACACAATTTTACACAGTTAGTAAGGTTTGAAATTGATCTTGAAAGACTTGGAGTAATAATTTGATATTCGAGTAATTAAATCGAATATACTTAGAAAATCATTTGTGAAATCTTAAAATTCATTTAATTTGTTATATCGAAACATCAAAATGTTTTCAACATATTGGGTTTACCTGACTCAACAAGGGCAGAAACAAGAGTAGAAGGTTGATTCATAGTTTCTTGAAGGTGCAAAAACTTGGCATACTCATCCGTAAATATTGTAACAACCAGTGAAGAAGTTTCTACACTAGATGCAACATAAGCAAATTGAGATTTCTTAGATTGCAACTTCTGACAATCACGTTTGAGATGTCCGAACTTATGACAACAGTGACACACAACTTCGCCATGCTCGCATCCACGAACTCCAAACTACTGATCAAGTTTATTAGATCCTAATCCCATATTTCTATTAGGTGCACCACTTTTGTACTATTGTTTTCTAGAGTTGGAAGAGGTAACACTACTAAGGAGAATACTGGAGGGCTAAAAAGACAGGACAGGTAAAGAAGTTTCAGCATGATGAACTCGTCGAAAAACATCATCAAGACTAGAAACTTTTAGACTATAAAGGATTTGTGACTTGGCAATCTCATATTCTGGTGGAAGACCAGCAAGAAAACTCGTAACAACCATTATTTTCTCTCTGAATTCATTGGACCTCTATATCGGCACTGAAAGGAAACAACATATTAAATTCTTCGTATGTCTTCTTAAAGTCCATTGTCTTCTTGAAGTCAATTTATTAAGTAATTATTTTTTAATTTCCATTTAAAATTATATAATAAAAATATAAAAGATAAAAAAAATATTATTTTATTATTATTTTATTATCATTTAATAATATTTTTTTGATAAGTTAAAAATATTTATTTTCTAATTCGGTGAATAAATAACTATTTCGCTTTTTTATTTCATTAATGTAATATATTTATTTTTATTATTAACTATTATTTTTTAATTAATAAAAATATTGTTTATTTCAAAATAAAAGCATAATGAAACAGCACAGCATAAAACGATCTTATAAAACCAAACCAAAACCTTCTTCCCAATCTTTTGTTTTATGACCATTATTTCAGCGGACTAAAACCTTCACAGCCATGGCCGCCCTTTCACCGCCGCAACAACATGAAGAAAAGGAACCGGTTTCACTTTCAAAGAAGAAAAGGCAAATGAGAAAGAGAACAAAACTTGACCCTGAACTGGAACGACTCGACTCGCTCCATTGGAACTCTTCCCTTCCCAACGAAGAAGAAGATGACGCCTTCTCTCTCTTCATTGGCTCTGGGGACCTGGATGGAGGTTAGGCTATACTAAAACAGAAAGATCCCATGTTTTTCGTTTTGTTAGAATGTGTTATTCTTTAGAGCTTGGTTATTATTAGTTAGAATTATTTTGTTTGTTTTAACATTAACAAGGTAGTAATTTGGCTTAGTATTAAATGATAAATGTTTTTATCTATTTGTTACTTAACATTGGCTTTGGAGCTGAAGGGATGTCTGGGTTTATGGTGTTTTAGGTGCTGGAGCTTATTATGTGTTCAATTTAAAATTTGTTGTTTTTAAGGGATTGGACTTCAAAATTGAAACTAAGTTAATCAAAGGTGTAATTTAGGATGAATTTTTGTGATTCATTTTATTGATTTCCTTGCTTTTAAAGGACACATGGACCTAATAGAGTCTTGGGATGTGTTGGAATTTTGGTGTATAGGTATAAATTTTACAATCTTTTGCTTGTGCTGCACATCGGTCTTGTTTTCTGGAATTTCTTCGGTTATATAGAGAATTCATGGCAAAGTGCTGGTCATGTTGGTGGTTTTTATGTTTTCAATGTGAAACAATGATGTAATAAGGTTATTAAAGAGACAAAGCTGTAGCTGTCTTGTTATTCTGAAACTATGACTATTACAAGGTTAAAGTAAACTAAGTATTTGGAGGGTTTTTTTTTTGCCTAACCTGTTTTCTTGGAGCTATATTCTGCTAAGGATTACGGTTGTAGGGTTCGAGCTTGTTCCTAGTTTGTAATTTTTGTTGTTTATGACGAATGCAGGCTTTCTTTCCCTTGAAGAGATTGATG